TGTGTGTGTGTGTGTGTTCTCACTGTAAACTGGATCTGACAGCCTCCCATGATATAATCCAGGAACGAGTGCATCTTGATGATCTGCAGAAGAAAGAAAAGAAAAAAAGTTGATATTTAAATGTTTCGACATCACACACATCAAATGTGACATCACACACTACAGGCCCCCAGCGGTTGGCCCCAGGCTCCGGTCGGACCCCGGTCGGCCCCAGGCTCTGACAGAACGAGGTCAGAGTGATGTTCTGGATGTTGATCAGACTGAGGTCATGAGGTCATGAGGTCATGAGGTCGGAGCTGGATCGTGGTTCGTTAAGGATCCACCTGTAACCTGCTCTCATTCCGTCGTCTCAGCACAAACTGAAGAAAATGTTCTGCCTCCGCTCCGACTCCTCGTCCATCAAGTGTGAATGAACTGGCAGCTGCTCAGTAATTTGTTTCCCTGTGTGCGACGCCTCGTCCCGTAGACGACCCTCGACTGGACGTGAAGTGGCAGCTCTTCACGTGCCGAGTGTCATCGGACTAAATGTTATCTGGCTCTCGTTCGGCAGCTGGAATCCCCAGGCTCCCTCGCTCGGTGTCTGAGCGCCGTTCAGCTTCGTCTGGCAGGAAATGTCAGGTTAGTCAGGCTGCTCACAGCTACGTAATTGGTTCCCCTAACAGCCTGTCAGCCCGACGCCAACGCCAGGCGCCGAGAGGAACGAGACGAGGGCTGGACAACAATGATCCCTGAACTGTTTGGATTAAACAACAGATTAAAGCTTCAGAGATTGAAACGACGTCGGTTTGTGATAAAAACGGAAACGTCACCTTGCACTGGTTCAGGATGACGATCCCAGAGTTCTTATAATTCTTCTTCTTCACTCTGTATTTGGGATTTATACACGGCCACTGCACCTGCAACACACAAACACACAATTACAACAAATACTTTTCTGTCATTTGACACGTCTGAGGTGGACGAAGACAGGGGACGTTCCTCCTGTGGTCCCACACAACTGTTTTCAAACATTAGCTCCTCGTCCTGGGGTCAGAATCCGTTCACGTAAATTCTAGACACACTTTATACATTTTGTATAATTGTATTTGTACGTGTGGACCAGCTACTAGCTAACTGTAGGCTTACGTTACGTGCTGCCATGTAAAGAGCGTGTGATGTTAACAACACGTGATGTTCATGTGTCAACACAGAAACTATTCCAGTGAAGTGTTTCCACTGTCGTAAAAAAGACTCACGGCTGTTTGTAGGAAGCGTCGTGATGAGGTCATTCTGCTTCTGATCCATAACTGAACATTATCATCTTGTTTAAATTCCGTGGTGACGTGTAAACAGGTCAAATTCAAATGTTACGAGCGAACATACAGCAGATCACAGAGCAGCTCTGAAACCTTCCATCCTGACGTTGATCGGTTCCTCGGACCTCCCCGGTGGTCCGTCCCCAACAGAGGCTTCGACAATAGTTTATGGAAAAGACACTTTTGTCCCTGAAGTCCAGAGAGACGCGTTGATATAATGATCACAGTTTCATTTATATTCAGGCCTGACCACAGACACCATCCTTCAGCCGCCCAAACAAGACCTGAGACTGAGGGTCGGCTCTGTGGAGAGCGGGTGACACACAGCGCCCCCTGGAGGCTCCAGTTCAACCTCAGTGACGAGTGAAACAGAGACGCTAGAACGATCACAGATTCATGTTTCTGTAGTTTCAGCCTCATTTTCAAGCTGGAGCTGGATTTGAATGAATTTCTTCCTCTGCGCTCTGAAGGTGGACGGGTTAATGAAACCTGGTGTCACTACAAACACTCCTCGTCACTGATAATGAGACAGCTGAGCGACGCTGCTGAAGAATCCACCACGCTCACGTTGTTTGTTTGTATTGTCGTCGTCTTCAGGACATTTCGTGAGAACGCACAGAACCTGAGCCTCTGGAAACATGAAGCCATGAGGAGCTTAACTTTAATTAGCGCCTGGTTTCTGCAGCGTCTCCTCTGGACGGCTGTGGCTTCATTATCTGTGTCTCTGCCGCCGGCGTCCTGGGGTTATTACATCTGTCCAAACAAACGCTACAGTGTTACGGCCTGGGGGGGGGCGGTCACGCTGCTAATTGGAACTTTCATGGGAACCTGGAGCTCAAGGACCTGAGGGAGATCAGGTCATGTCTGGTTAAACCTGCTGAGGTCACCTGAGGTGTTTAGCCACAAGGTGACGGTGGGTTGTTCTGCTTCTCATCAGACGTTCACACACATTCTGTTAATTTACTAACTTTAGTCCAACGTGGCTCCGCTGTGTTCATGAAGCAGTCTGAGCCATTTAATAATATATATATATATATTCTTTAGATGATGGAAGATTATAAAGTTCTGGAAACTGGAAACAACAGCGTCGTACATCTAAACCGTGGTTTGTAGAAGAGAGACGATGGTGTTTTCTCAAATCAGGGGAAACAAAGATCTGTGTTACAAAGACGTGAAAAGTGACTTCATGTGTGGTCTTTAAAAAATCTCTCCCTGCTCTGGTCACGCACTGTTTGTCGTATATCTTATTTCTAAAATGTCTTTGAGAATGTTAGTTAACACATTGACCTGTCGACTGTTGTGTAGGAATAAAAAGTGTCCTCCTGAGCCCCGTGTCTTTGTCTTGTTGTGTAACAGCATGTCGGAGTGTGTGCGCTGTGGTGTCGCTCAGTCTGAGTCTCACTCAGCTGGTAAATTGATTGTGCGGCTGAAGGAGTGAGCAGATATCTGCCTCACTGACATCGACTCCCAGAGGAACCAGAGCAGCAGAGAAGTCGTAATGCTGAACATGAAGGAGCTGCAGGAAACCTTCTTAAGTCTTTTATATAGAGACACTGAGGATCTGCAAAACTTCTATATCCATCATCGACATTTTTAATTCTTACTTTCAGAAAATGTTTTTTTGATTATTATTATGATCCAGTCATTTTTAAAACAAAAAGATTAGTTAGAAACATTTTTAAAATAGTTAATAAAGATGATGCCACTAACAATATTATGTGAAATATAAACATCCACACGATGAAGAGCAGCGTACCTGTCTCCCATCGATGGCTCCTCTCATCTCTTTGAACGACGCCTCAAACTCTCCGATGTAGTCGTGTTTCCCGTTGGAGTCCCAGTCCCACACGGTGCACTGCACACACACACACACACACACACACACACACACACACACACACACACGTCCACAAACAGATGAGACTCGGATCATTCAGTGTGTGTGTCGGTGTGTGTGTCAGTGTGTGTGTCGGTGTGTGTGTGTGTGTGTACCTGCAGCTTGCGCTCATGGTCTCCACTGCAGAGTGAGTTGAGGGAAACTTTGAAGGTTTTCCACACTGGGTTGAGATTATTCATAACAGTCTGACAGAGAAGAGAGAGTTTATTAATGATGAAGATGAGGATGAAGATGATGATGATGAGGATGATGGTGATGATGA